GCCGCCAGCTCCCAGGAGCACTCTATAAGCCTCCTAAAGGCTATGCATGCCCTTTTTTGGGGGTAGGGGATCCAGCCTGTTTTCGTGAAAAACAGGCTGTTTTGGGATATCTGTAGAGTGCAAAAACTTTTTTTAAAAACTTTTTAAAAAATTTGCCTCTTCAAAATCTTGGTGCGTCTTATACTCCAGTGCATCTTATACTCCCAAAAATATAATATATGCACATAATTAATTATCAGGAAAAAAATATGGAAGCAATTTGAGCATGATTTCTAAATTACTTACCTCAGTAGTATTCTGTCTACAGCAACATTGGTGGAAGAAGAAACCAATATTTTCCATGGCACTGACCGTTTGCCATTAGCTGCTTCGTGGATTTCAAATATTTGTGCCAGGAATAAAATCACAATAGCCAGCAATAAACTTTTTCCGGATCCAAACACACCTACATGTGGAGTTTAATAAAATAGGTATTCACGGATTCAAACATATTGTGTAGTATTCTTTCAAACATATTTTCTTTGAAACTGGACTGAGCATTAAAGAGGTTAGAGAAATCAAACATTCATCAACATCATGAGAAAACATAAACTAAGCATTCTTAGCTGTATATACAGTAGAGTGATTCCATCTAATTAACTGAAATCTAATCCCGGAATTAGAGTAGAAAGCTGACTAATGCTATGATTGCAATATAAGTAGTCCTTGATCTATAGGTGTAATTAAGTCTGGAATTTATGCTAGAATAGTTGAGAAGATTCAGATAACCTTCTCTCTTAATTCTGTGTAGGTAGAACATAGCTTTCCATTTAACCTGCATGTCAGTGGATATTGAAGTAGTTTTCACAAAAAACCTATTCAGTATAAATTCTCCTAAACAAACCTAAATAAAATTCTTAGTTTCCGCCCGATTGCACTTTTGCATTCCCCAAATATGCTCATAGCAAAATCCTAACTTCCGGAGTAGATTTGCTGGGGTACATGGGAAGTTGCAAGAGGGAATATAAATTTAGTACTGTATACAGTTCAAAAGTTTGAATATAAATAGTTGAAAATAGTAAAAAAAAATCTAAATTAAAATCCTAAAAAAAAGAATTGTTTAGAGAAGAAGGATAAAATTGAAGATGGTTCATATGGAGTGAATATAGCAGGTCACCAACCTGTGGGCTGTGCGGGATTGGCCAGCAAGCATGCACACTCTATTTAAGTGAACAGTGTGCATGCTGCTTGCACAAATGGAGTTGTTTTGCGCTTCCCGGCCCCTCACATGAACCCCTTTCCAAAACCGGAAACATTGCGGAACTCTGGAATATAGGACAGGAGAAGCAAAATAAAATATGAAGTTCTTGTGAAATAATTTACCATGTATTATTGTTATTGGAAACGTTGGATGCTTCCCTGTTTCTGTGTTTATTTTTTGAGATGTCATCATGGCACCGATCTTCATCATTGCTGTGGCTTGATCTTTATTTAGCTGGAAAGCTTGAATAATTTTATCAGCAAGATTTATAACTATTTCTGGGCTGAAAGCTTCAGATTTTATTGCATTTGTATTTAGTGCTGGTGGTTTAAACTTTTGTTTTCTTTCTTTGGTTTTTGGAAATAATTCTTTGAAACCCCTAAAATACAAGAAAAGAGAAGATTTAACCTACTTAGAACTTAGCACTAGAATTAAAATATATTTCCAGTCAAATCATTCAAATATATTTATATCAATGAATGTACAAATCTGTTTGTTTTTAAAAGATAGTATCACTTCTTACTTTGTAAGTAGATGTTGCATGATTGGCAAAGTGATTGAACTGACATTTTCCTGTATATTTCTCAAATTTGTGAGTTCTGTGCTAGCGTTACACACAAACAAGGCATGAACAATCACTAAGAAAGAAAATATAATAAGAAATAGATATTTAGAGATGAACTTATCAAACAAATATTTGAATCTTAAGTTAGATCCAAAAAGACAAGAGACACTAGTATGCATGCCAATATCAATTGTAACAATAGTTTTAAAGATAAATAATAGGCATGGGGAGATACAATCTAATTTGTTTCAAGAGTTTTGGATTAGTTCGGGAGTGTTATATTTCCTTGCGCTCAAAGCAAATTTTTTCAGAAATGACCTGCTTTTTAAAAAAATTCCCATTCCGTATTGTTCCCTGGAACCGAAGAGATTTTTTAAAATTATTATTGTTATAATTATCTAATGATGTCTGTTTAACAAGGATATATTTGGATTTTTCCTCATCTCTTCACATACCATGTAAATGTTTCAGTAAGAAAAGCAGGTTATTGGGTTTCAGTTCAATCCATTCCCTGTGTTCTAGCTCTGTTTTCCCACTAAACTTTTGCCTTGAGTTTAATCAAAGTTGTGAAAATATTTAACTTTCTCAAGCTGACCATGAATTAAAATAATTTTCAAGGAAACACATTTCAGTTGCAGCAAAATATCCTGTGGATAATAAAATGTTTAGGCTATTTAGATTTTCCAACTTACCCTGAATGGGGTTTCCCACTCTTTTTTAAAGATTCAATGATAATTTTTCTAGTAAAAGCTGTTGGAATTCCATTTTATGGCATATTAGAGAATTAGTCATTTTTTGAATAATGTATTCTAAAACCTTATAGAAAAAAATCTTGAGCAGAAACTTACTATCTGAGCACCAATTTGATGGGCTATAACCATTAAGAGGCTCCAACTGCACTTCATTATTAGAGGATGGTCCAAAAAAAACACTATATGCAATGAAAGTGTCCAAGGGTTCAAATGTCAAAGTCTTGGAAACGACCCAAAGATCATCTGTCAACATAGTACATACATTTGCATGAGTTACACCAAGCAATCAATTTTGCAATTCAGAAGTAAAGTTACAATTGAAACTTCGAGAAAAAAAGTTTTTTATTTCCTATGTCTTCTTGCTGGAAAAACACTGGAATTTTTTCCTTCTCTTATCCAACAATGCATTGGGTAAATATCTATTTTCATATTAAGTAATTTCAAATTCATAAGAGTGCTATTTGAAAAAATATCCTCTGAGAGATATTTTAAATTTTATCACGTATATCACTTAATTGATTATGAACAGTCATTCACAACTGTTTTACTCTATAAGCTAAATATATCTCTATATAATAAAATGGCTGTGGGTGTGTATGTTCCAGCATAATTCTGGAACACCTCAAGTAATTTCAACCAAACTTGGTATACAGATGATGTACGCGCTGGAAAGAATTATTGTGGATGTAAGACACCCCTAAAACCCCTTGGGGGGGATTGTTCTGTTAGGATGGCTTCTACTGTGCAGCACAGTGGAGTTGCCATGGTAACAGCTTCACAGTACTCTACAAGGGGGCTCTCTCTGGTAAGGGGGAAAATCCAACATTAGAAATTACGTTTGGTNTCTGTCACATGTATTCTATATGACATGTGTTTTGTACAGTATAAATATCTACTGAGTATGTGTACTAAATATTTTCGTAAAAAAGCAGGGCATATAATTTAAGAAAGCAACATTTTTCTGCATAAGATTTTGACTCACTGTCTAGGGTCTAAATATTTTTAAAATTAAAAAAAAACCCACCCAATATCTATGTCCCTAGATATTGGAAGTACGCACCATCAAACAGAGACGATCAAAGAGAGTTTGTTCCAAACCATTGTCATGGGCACTTTCAGACCCTTGAATGGTAGGTGGCAACTGCTTAGGATCTCCAACAAGAATCAGCTTCTCACATTCAAAACTATAAATGGAAACACATTTCTGGCTATCACATATTAAACTTAAAATATGAAAAACTTTCAGTAAAAGGCAACCATATATCATATAAATCATAGTGTTGGGCAAAAAATGCCTAAAGACAAAATAGATACCCTGACCAACTTCCTTGTAAACTGCAACTGGTAATGCAGAGCTGAAACTATGCTTTATGTCTGTTTACTTGCTATACAGTTTAAACTTGTGCTAGGCTTCAGACCTGTGGGCTAAAAACAGTTGTCTTTAAATTTCTTCCACATCATAAAGTTCAAGAAAAAATGGTATAAAATTGTTAATACAGAGGCCCAAATAAAAATATATTAAAATATTATTGGTCTTTCAATATTTAATATTTTGCCAGCAGAAAGTACAGTGTAATTTTTAATAATTGATTACTTGTTTTCAATCAGCTTGTCTTTTAAAGCAAATATATACTGTAACTTTTGTATTGTTTAAACTTTATAGCATTTCGCTCTTTGAATTCGATTTCATTACAAACTCGGGTCTAATGCCTGGCCAATGTTTATTTTTTCTTAATTCCTTGGATAATATTATGGTGTGTGCATAAAAAAAATGTTACTTGAAACTGACCGAGTGAAAGGTGTTTCTTTTGTCTTACACCCTTAACAATTATATACTGAACCTTGGGATGTATAAAGGACTAATTTGCCTTAATCAGATATTTTGAGGGAAGAAAAATACCCACTCCTCTGGATTTGCCTGAACTAGCAACTAAAAGCAGACAAGAATCTTTGAAAACAAAGTGCTTCCAGTTTTTTTTGAAGATAAACAATATCTTGCTAACACCCAATTCTGGAATTATAAGAGTTTCTGAATTGGTTGTCTTCACCATACTTGGAACATTTCTTTCACTATTTCAGCTTTAGTTTTCTAAATAATATATTATATTTAAAACTTTATAAATAATTGAGATCACTTCACACAGCCATTCTTGCTATCAGCTATGCCATCGCAATTCCCCACTCCATTTTGAGAATTTAGTTACAAGACTGGTCATTGAGTTGTTGCAATAATAAGACTTATAAAATGTTTTCTTGTTTACGTCTTAAAGCAACTCAACTTCATAAGTTAAAACAATCACTATACCTGAATTTAATTATTGGTAGAACTCAACATGATCATAATTGAGCCTGTAATTACATCCCTAAGTCATGCTGATTGTTAAGTGGGTCACTATGGTACTGCACCCAAATTTGCAATCTCTTCGGCAGTCATTAAGTGACTCACCATGATAATTAAGAAACATGGCAGTCATTAAGTGAATGAGACAGTTCTTAAGTGAATCCATCGTCTGGATTTTGCCAGATTTGTCAGAAACTAGAAGTAAATGGTTCTTGCAAAAAAATTGTACATCGTGGTCATGTTACCATGGGATACTGCAAACAGCCCTGACCATGTGACCGGGGAGGGGGGCTGTTCATTGAAATGTTGAATCTGGACTATATGTTGTCCTGGGGAAGTCTGTTGTAAGATTGAACAATTGCTAATTGACTGGTTATAAGTCAAGGAGTGTAATAACAAAGTAAAATGATGGCATACCTTGCAATTGGGAGCAGAGAGGATGGTTCTGTCATTTGACTACACTCATCTAGAATCACTATAGGAAACTTAAGACTTTTCATGCATGGAAATGAGCAGGCAGCACAGGTAGATCCCACTACCTTCACCTATATCAATAGAGGAAACATAAAACTGTATCTGTATACTCATACAAATAATGAACCACAAGTTGTACAACCAAAATTCAATTTCTTTATTGGGTAATTGAATGTGTTTATACTCAAAAATTTATAATGAAACCTAATGAGAAAACATAACTCCATGATGCTGATTCTACGACCCCTATGCTTGAAGTTTGCTTTAAAAAATTAGTATAATATGCAAGAAATAAAAATACAAATAACTGCATTTAGTTTATTCATCTGATGCCATGTTCCACTAACATATTTCAATAAAAACGATTGATTACTTTATAGCCTTTTTCATAATTATAACAAATGTTCCATTTAAGGACAGTCATTTACTGGATTTTGAATTTAATGGTCAAATTTTGCTGGAAATGAGTTTGTCCAAATTTCAGGCAATAACAAGTACACAAAAATTTGTCATTTGACAAAGACATTTCCAATGTATTTGAAATATTTTTAAATCAATATGGGCCCTTTTATTTTTAAATGGTTATAGTCTTTATGCAGCATGACTTTACAAATTGACATGTTTGTTTGTTTGTCAATCAGAGGCTATAACACTGAGCTATCCTTGACTATTAAAAGAATACCTGAGGAGCTCCCTCCCCAATATCCAACTCATAGTTTAAAATGGGTTCTCAACCTCCGAACTGTGATTCATTATCAGGCCTTGAGCCATTTGGAAACAGCCGTCGAAGTGGTGGGCGAGAAGATGCATATCTCCACTTTCGTGAGCAGTGGCAAGCTTATACGGAACTAGCCCCCTTCCCCCCCCCCCTTCCACAAAGCCAGAAAGGTTGGGGAACTCTGGTTTAAAAGACACTTCATTTTAGTGGACATCCTTCCCTCGTTAGTCTGTTAACCCTAAAAGCTACTGTATTTCTTAAAACATTCACTTTTACAGTAATTTGCTTCACATTAAAAAAAAAGCACTGAATGCAGTTTCAAATTCATCACAGATCAGTGGTGGGTTGCAGGCGGTACGCCCTGGTATGGGCGTACCGGAGCCTGCCCAGAGCACCGGATACCCTAGCCTTAAATCAAGAAGTATGAGCATTAAAAAAATTGTTTACTAGGAAGGGACATTACTTAACTTAATAATATAGTTGAAATAAGATAGCATTATATGTATTTCACTTTCATAGCAGCTTCTTATTAATATTGGCAGAAAGAAAATTTGCTTGTCATAATAAAATGTATTATATTCAAATAATTCTGATTCAAATTTTTGCCTGTAATTTTCATAATTTCTAAAGGGATTCATCATAATACCTGTCCAAATTATTCATTTGCAGTACCATTGAGTTAGATCTACTAAGTCTACAGTTCCAACATTAATATCCATAAAAATGATTGTTAATTATGTTTACACCATTTATATTCCATTTCACCATCAATGCACAACTGAGACAATTAACTGTCTTCAAAAAGGAAATGCTAACAGCTCCCTCACTTTCTTAATAATGAATATATGATTTTTCACTCAGGAATTTATGGTTCCATCCTGCCTTTTTATATGAGATTTAGTTGTATTCTTATTATTCTATTGGCTTTAGGCTAGATGGCTTTACTGTTGATTTTTTTATTATTTTTGTATGCCACATTGTATTATCTAACTGGAACATCTAAACATATTGTAACAATAATTTAAAAATCCATGCTGTATTTGCACATGCAAATACAATTCATCATTACCTTTCTCAGGGAAGCTTTATTGGTGCCCAGTTTATGTTGTTCAATAGTCTTCTTCACATACATTTTTTCCACTGGGCTTAAATCCTCCTTCATCAAGGCAAGTAATTCTTTCAGCTGTTCATTTTCAGATCCTGAGTCAGCATGCAAGCTTTAACATATTGCATAATTGTATGGAATAATACTGAATGGAAAGGTTTTATTTATGAAAAGGTGCCTCTGCACAAATGACTACTTTAGGTAAAATCTGGACTCTAAGAGAAGATGCAGTCATCCATGCCACAAAAGGTAGCATAGTATATTGTTAATGGGATAAAGAACAGAAGGGATTATCTAGTCTGAATGAGCCTTGTATAAAAAATTATATTTATACCCAAATAATACATTATAAGCAGCAACCTACGTTAGAACTTTCCTGTTCATATATGAGTGCATTCAAACATTTTGCACAGATGGTAGCCAGCAAGAATTTATTTACTTATTAGATTTATTGGGCTACCTATCTCAAACACAGGATTCTAAGCTCATCTAATTCTTTTTAAATGAACATTTTACACCAGTTTCTTCCATAGTAGCTTTAGAAATCAAAACAAAATTTAAAAAATAATTTTAAAACCATAGAAACATTCTTGTGACTTCTTAAA